GGGTGGGCCACTGGCCTGATCCAACATTGGCTTCTCTTGTGTTCTTAAAATAGGGAATTGGAGAAACATATGGAGCAGAGGTCCATCAGTGGTAGCAAGGCCAATGTTGGATCAGGCCAATGGCCCCTCCAGTCCAACACTCTGTGTCACACAGTGGCCAAAAATACCAGAGGCCAGCAGAAGGTCCAGCAGTGGGGCCAGGACACCAGAAGCCCTCCCACTGTTGCCCCCGCCCCAAGCATCAAGAATACAGAGGATCCCTTGCCCCAGACCGAGAGTTCCTGTCTATACCTTGTGGCTGATAGCCACTGATGGACCTTGGCTCCATCTGTTTATCCAATCCCCTCTTGAAGCCGGTCCCGTGCTTATAGCCGCCTCCTGTGAATTCCATTTATTGCTTTACAACTGTTGACCCTATAACCTTAACTTGTTATTCAGTGTCACTTTGCATATTATGATCATCATGGTGCATGTTAATCTGCTGTTTAGCCTCGGTCTATAAGTTCGAAGGAGCTGCGGTGGCTCAAGTGGTTAAGACACTGAACTGCAGGCTGTGGAAGGTCGGTAGTTCAGCAGTTCGAGACCCAAGTTGCTGCATGACGGAGTGAGCTCCCGTCTCTAGTTCCAGCTCCTGCCAACCTAGCAGTTCGAAAGCAAGAAACTGCAAGTAGATAAATAGGTACCACTTCGGTGGGAAGGTAACAGCGTTCCATGTGCCTTGGTGTTTAGTCATGCCGGCCACATGACCACAGAAACGTCTTCAGACAGCGCTGGCTCTTCGGCTTTGAAACGGAGATGAGCACCACAACCCTAGAGTTGGACTCGACTGGCTTTCGAGCAAGGGAACCTTTACCTTTACCTTTAAAAGTTCGAACCTTGCCTGCCATTCTAACATATTTGACCAAGTGCTTGAATAAACCTTTGTTGGTCTTAAAGGTGCCCCACGGGACTCTAAATCTGCTTCCCTCCTGGCAGTTTAGGTCCAGGCCGCATCTCTCGGTCCAGTGGGACAAAGTTGTTCATTTGATCAAATTTATTCTGTTCCAGCCAAGGGGGAGAAGTGGTAAACTTTTGTTTGTAATACTGACCACCACCACCACCCTCTTAAATATCCTGCTCTGAAAAATCTGTCTGCCCGCTGAGATACTACTAGGAGCCCTCCGCACAGTCAACCCAAGTTGGCTGTCTGACGACTAGAAACACACAATATTCATTCACTTCATTTATACCCCACCTTTTCTCCGCAACAGATACCCAAAGGGGCTGACACCTTTCCGCTCGCCCCTGTTTTAGCCTCACAACGCCCCTGTGAGGAAGGCGAGGCTAAGAGTATGCAACTGTGTCAGCTATGCAGCCATGGGGGTTGGGGAGTTCATTCTGTGTCTTACTAATTGCTATTGCATTCCTATCTCTGCTGTTCTGCCTTGGCTGAAAACGCTTTTCTCTACAGATGTGCAGGAAGAGGTTGTATTGTCTGGAAGTCTCCTATGTACCGTGAGAGACTCCTGGTTCCCAGCTTTTGCCCCCCTAACGGTTTCCTACCTTGGAGGGTATCTAATTGGCCATGCCATGGGGGAGGGGGTGCATACGAATGGCCTATATCCTATTATGCTCCATGGGCATTCTTAACAGTGCCTGTGTTACTGCATCTATAAAAGGTAAAAGTTCCCTTGCTCGAAAGCCAGTTGAATCCAACTCTAGGGTTCCGGAGCTCATCTCCGTTTCAAAGCCGAAGAGCCAGCGCTGTCTGAAGATGTTTCTGTGGTCATGTGGCCAGCATGACTAAACATCAAGGGGCACGGAACGCTGTCACCTTCCCACCGAAGCGGTACCTATTTATCTACTTGCAATTTCTTGCTTTCGAACTGCTTGGTTGGCAGGAGCGGGAACTAGAGACAGGAGCTCACTCCGTCATGTGGCACCCGGGTCTCGAACTGCTGAACTACTGACCTTTCACAGCCTGCAGTTCAGTGCCTTAACCACTTGAGCCACCGCAGCACTGCATCTATAAAGGTAAAGGTTCCCTTGCTCGAAAGCCAGTCGACTCCGACTCTAGGGTTGCGGTGCTCATCTCCGTTTCAAAGCCGAAGAGCCAGCACTGTCTGAAGACGTTTCCGTGGTCATGTGGCCGGCATGACTAAACACCAAGGCGCACGGAACGCTGTTACCTTCCCACTGAAGTGGTACCTATTTATCTACTTTCAATTTCTTGCTTTCGAACTGCTAGGTTGGCAGGAGCTGGAGCTAGAGACGGGAGCTCACTCTGTCATGCGGCACACCCGGGTCTCGAACTGCTGAACTACTGACCTTCCACAGCCTGCAGTTCAGTGCCTTAACCACTTGAGCCACCGCAGCAATGCATCTATAGCTTTGCAATAAAAGTATAACCGTTCCTGAATGCGTGTACTTTGTTGTAAGCTGTGGGTTCTGACAGACTGGCCCTGCTGTTCTGCCTTGGCTGAAACGCTTATCTCTACAGATGGGCAGGAGGAGGTTGTATTGTCTGGAAGTCTCCTATGTACCGTGAGAGACTACTGCTTTCCAGTGTTTGCCCCCTAATGGTTTCCCGCACAGGAGGGTATCTAATTGGCTCATGCCAGGGGGGGGGGGTTGCAAACGAATGGCCTATATCCTATTATGCTCCATGGGTTGCCGCCATTCTTAACAGTGCCTGTGTTGCTGCATCTATAAAAGGTAAAGGTTCCCTTGCTCGAAAGCTAGTCGAGTCCGACTCTAGGGTTGCGGTGCTTATCTCCGTTTCAAAGCCGAAGAGCCAGCGCTGTCCGAAGACGTTTCCGTGGTCATGTGGCCGGCATGACTAAACACCAAGGCACACGGAACACTGTTACCTTCCCACCGAAGTGGTACCTATTTATCTACTTGCAATTTCTTGCTTTCGAACTGCTAGGTTGGCAGGAGCTGGAGCTAGAGACGGGAGCTCACTCTGTCATGCGGCACACCCGGGTCTCGAACTGCTCAACTACTGACCTTCCACAGCCTGCAGTTCAGTGCCTTAACCACTTGAGCCACCGCAGCAATGCATCTATAGCTTTGCAATAAAAGTATAACCGTTCCTGAATGCGTGTACTTTGTTGTAAGCTGTGGGTTCTGACAGACTGGCCCAGGGTCACCGTGGCAGAGACGGAATTAGAACCTGGGTCTCCCCGGTCCTAGTCCAATGTTCCACTCCGCACATCACACTGACTCCCATAAAATGAAAACCCAAATATTCCCAGTGCCAGCTTCTACACAGAACTCTGCCACCACAGAAGGCATGAACTGCTTTGGGGCTCCTCTCAGTTCACTGGCCCCGCCCACAGACAGCCCTCCTCATGAGGTGAAACTGGGAACATGGGTAAGAAGAGGGGCAGACGCCCGGCCGGGTTCCTGCCCCTGGCAACTCACAACTCCATGACGAGCATGATGTCTCTGGGCGTCTCGATGGCGTCGTACAGCTGGATCAGGTTCCGGTGATTCAACTGGTTCATCACATCGATTTCCACCGCCCCCTGTGGGGCCAAGGCAATGTCACATGCCATGGGGTTTGGCTAGCAGCTCCTGAAACCCACCTCCTTAGTTGGGCGTTAGCCCTCTTCAAGAGGGGATGCTTTGCCAGCCCACAACCCCCCCCATCTTCCCTGTAAAAAGGAGGAGAAGAAGAGGAGGAGGAGGAGGAGGAGGAGATTGGATTTATACCCCACCCTTCACTCGGAGTCTCAGAGCGGCTTACAATCTCCTTTCCCTTCCCCTCCCCACAAAAACCACCCTCTGTGAGGTACTTGGCTAGCAGCTCCTGAAACCCACCTCCGTAGTTGGGCGTTAGCCCTGTTGAAGAGGGGATGCTTTGCCAGCCCACAACCCCCCCCCATCTTCCCTGTAAAAAGGAGGAGAAGAAGAAGAGGAGGAGATTGGATTTATACCCCACCCTTCACTCGGAGTCTCAGAGCAGCTGACAATCTCCTTTCCATTCCCCTCCCCACAACAACCACCCTCTGTGAGGTAGGTGGGGCTGAGAGAGCTCTTTCGAGGACTGCCCTTGAGAAAACAGCTCTCAGAGAACTTGGGACTGACCCAAGGTCATGGCAGCAGCTGTGAATGTTTAGTTTGGAGAAGAAGAAGAGATTGACGGGGGACATGAAACGCTCCCTCTAAGCTGTGGAGTCTTGTGAGCAAAAATTCTACTTTGTGAGCTACTGGCATTAAAGTTGTGAGCGAGCGATTTGGCTCCTGCATGAATTACTTTGCTCTGGAGCCATCCTTCCTGAGCGAGTGTGTGAGCCGGAGGCTAAAACCCTGTGAGCTAGCTCACACTAACTCAGCTTAGAGGGAACTACTGCACAAATTAGCTTGCTCTGGAGCCATCCTTCCTGAGCTAAGACAAAAATGTGTGAGTCGGATGCTAAGAAACATAAGAACATAAGAGATGCCAATGTTGGATCAGGCCAAAGGCCCATTCAGTCCAACACTCTGTATCACACAGTGGCCAGAAATACCAGTGCCATCAGGAGGTCCAACAGTGGGGCCAGGACATTAGAAGCCCTCCCACTGTTGACCCCCCCAAGCACCAAGAAGACAGAGCATCACTTGCCCCAGAGT